CCCCTGCTGTGAGGGAGGAAGTGGAGCAGGGGCTGGGGCAGGTGCTGCCCAGCTGGGGCAGGGCGGGGTGTGGGGACATAGCTGTGGCTCTTCTGGGGAGCGCAGGTGGGGGCTGGCAGGGTTGTGGTGCTGTGGCTCCCGCTACTGCACACACCCCGGGAGGGCACTGGGGGAGGGGGGTGGGGGATGAGATGACATGTGCCCCTGGATCTGTGCAGGGTGCAGGCAAGGTGGGCTGCAGCTGCTGGCTAAGGTGAGGGCTACACAGGGCTCTTCCTGGCATGTGCATCTGGTGGGGTGTTGGATTGGGGCTGTGCTCCGGGCAAGCTGTGGCGCCGGCGCTGGGTAGCTGAGTGGGGCTATGGTGAAATGTGGGGTGGCTGCAGCCCCCCGTAGCCCTCCTCCCAGAGCTGCCACAACCTGCCCCGAGCACAGCCCGGCCCCGCCTCCTGCTAAGAAGAGCCCTGCACAGCCCTGGCCTCAGCTCACAACTGCAGCCCATCCTGCCCATGCCTCGCACAGATTCGGGGTCACATGCCCCCACCTGCCCTCCTTGGGTGCAGGCAGCAGCAGGAGCCTCCCCCTACCCCACGTGCCCCCAATGAGCTGTGGCTCCATCCCGCGCTCTGCCCCAGCCTGTGCCCCACTCCCTCCCTCACTGCAGGAGCCTTGGTCTGCTCTCCCTCCATGCCCCTCCCCCTTCTCCTTCCAACACAACAGACTTACCAGCTGCATGCAGCGGTATCAGAAATCAGATCGGTATTGGCCAATGTACCTCCTTAAAAATGGGCTATTGGTACTGGACCTCAAAATCTCTATTGCTGCACCTCTTGTAAGTTTCCCCATGTATGCACCGAAAACTTAGTTTTGATTTATTATCTGAATGTTCTTGGATTTTGGCACCATGGTCCTGTTCCAAAAACAAGTGCAGTATACCCCACTGTTACACCCCCCCCCCAATGTTTTCAAATCTGAATGCCTGAAGAAGTGCTTCAATTTTCTAACATGCTAAACACCTCTAGCTATAAGTGATGTCAGTACCAATTGTGGGTGTTCAGTATTTCTGAAGACTGGGTGACTTTTGCCTAAATGCCAAAATAGTGATTGCGAACACAGGGTTACAAGGGACCAGCTGGGTCAGTGTCTAGTTCCCTGCAGTCACAGGTAGCCACGTTGTGTCCAAGAGGATCCAAAGGATTATTCACTTTGGGCCCCTCCTGCACGTGATCCCTGACAAGCACCATCTAGCCCGTGACAAAAATCAGGATTTTAATATAAAGCCCCCAACAAACTATGGGATTTAGGAGCCTAACTTTAGGTATGCAAACGTGAACATTCTGGCATAATTCTTCAGTTTCACATTTACATTCCTAGTCCCCGGGCTTCTTAATAAACATGTATATTAGAAAACAGCTCTCTCAGAATTCCAGCCCATTCAAGTGGGAAACAAATATGAAAGATGTCTCATTGCTAGCAAAGACAGAGTCTACCAAAACCCACAATTTAGTATTTCCATGAATAAACCCTTCATAGCTGCTTTAATAGTAGCCATACAACTTATCTTCCGTGAATATTTTGAATGCTGACATGAACTAAAGTACTCTGGAAGATGAATTCACTGAATACTAATTTTCAGATTTCTAATAATGCACCTAGCATGCATGTCTCCAGTGTATTTCAGCAAATGAAAAATGTACTCTAAATGTTAAGTGGCTTCACAATATAAATTCCAGATCCAAGTGCAATAAACTTATGCACAGCTCAAGCAGACAACCAGAAGTGATGACTGCCAGGAAATTTTATCTTGAGGCTGACTTCTACTTCGCTTGGTTGAATAATTTAGTCCCTTTTCCCAGATTCTGCACCTGTGCTGTTCCACCAGTTCATCCTATTGAGTGGTCCAGTTTCTGCTTAGTCTGACCACATACATTTGTGAATGATAAACAAACAGACTGACTTTGGTGCTGGATCTGTGTCTGGCTCTTCAGAATCTCTATCCGTCTCCTTGAGCAAAGGAAGAAACTCTGGGTCTTCATCACTGTTAGACGTTTCTGAGCTGCAGCTACTTTTGTAGCCTGGAGGCAATGCAGGTCCTGCAACTAAACAGCAAGAATTATTGTGGTTATTTTATTAAACACTTCAGATGATGTGCATTAATCTTGTTATCCTCAAAACACACATGTGGTTGGACTGCACTCTATTCACAAAGTCTTTTTTCTATACTACAAGTAAAAGGAAATGTTTAAACAACAAAGAAATAAAAACACATGGTATATTAGTAATTAAATAGCATTCACCCTGCTGCTACAATGTAGTGACTAACTTCAGCAGAAAAACTGAGAAAAAAAGAAAGGGTAAGTACATTGCTTATCTTCTGGCACTAGAGAGCAAAAACCGTAGCATTTGTCTGACAGCAATGACTGCTATTTTATGCCGTATAAATGTTAAAGCAGTATTTGCAACCAAGATTTGAAAGCACTTGAGACTTTGACCACAGAAGAGTAACATTATATATGTGCAAATCAGGAGTCCTCAAGTTAATGCAATATACCAAGGGACCAAGACCTGGCCTGCACAACCATACTGCCCGACCCACAGTGCTGCCTGCTATATGCCCTGGCTGAGGCTGGGGCATGTGGTATGCAGAATCCATCTGGCACATGCTGAACAAGGCTGGTCTGGGATGCATGTTAAAGCAGGCTTGCATGCTGGATCTGGGGCCACTCTGGACCGGGGCCACAGATGGGCCCCCCATACTGGGATCCAGGGCTGGTCCGGTACGGGCATCATATGCAGACCATGAACTGGACTGGTGCTGTGCGCCATATGTAATATCAGTCTTGGGCATGTGCTGTTAGCGGCACCTACACCAGAGAAGCCCTTCACACTGGATCTGGGGCTGGTCTAGATCAGGATCACAGACCAGCCCCACAGGCCAGATCCAGTGTGCAGGCTGGTCCAATGTGGGTACTACATGCAGCACACACCCCAGACCAGTGCTGTACCTAGTGTGTGCCCCAGACTGGTCCCAAATATGGCGTGCCACGTGTCGAGCTGGCATATACTGCATAAAGCATGCAGGGCAAAAGCTGGCGTGCATGCTACAAACACCACATTGCTAGCAAAGCTATCACATTGTGGCTGGTCCAGGGCACATGCTGTTTGCAGAGTTAGATCAGCCCTATGGGCTGAATCCAACACGAGGCCAGTCTGTGGGCCTGGTCCAGCCTGCAGACCTGCCCTGTGCCCCTCATCTGGCTAGCAGGGCTAGATGGGTTTGACACCCCGGCAACATACTTTCCACTCTGCTTTGGTTAAGGTCCTGATAGGGCAAATGATGCAAGTCCAGGCGTAAATAGTTTTCTGACAAAAGATGGGTTTAAATATATGCTTTAAGTGTTTTGTTAAATGAGGGTCTAAAATAAAAGTTGATATCACAAGACTCCTCCTTTTTTCTAATTAAAAAAAAAATAAATAAATAAAATCAAATCTCACATGTCCATAGTGTCTTTTAAATTTCAAGCTCTGATTCTATGGCTGGCAGGAAGGGGAAGTTGTTTGATTGGAAAGAGGTACAGTGAACTTTTACCACAGCAGCCGAATTAGAAGAAAAGATCAGATGTAATGAAAGAATATAAATGAAGGCTAAAGGGCAATTACATCCACAGTTAAAGAGTGGTGACCTTTTCAACTATGCAAAATAAACCAGCTACATCTAGAAATTCGATTTTTAGTAGACAGGACTTAGATGGGAATGAAGAAGATTAAAGGGAGCATTAGACAACTCATATTATTTTCACATAATTTAACACATAAAACAAGACCATACAATTTGAAAAGCATCTGACGGTCTGCCATTAATTTCAGCTTCCTGCAGAGAAGAGAAAGAAATGACAAACAGATCCACAAATCCCCTTCAGTATCAGGCAATTTATGTTCAGGCTGACAAAAGGAGAGAGAAAACATATGAAAGAAGTTAGTTTGGAACAAGAGAGGAAAGGGGCCAAGGATCAATATGCAATATACAAATTGCTGTCATACGTGCCAAGGCTGTCCAACTGGTGGCCTCCAGGCCACATTTGGCCCTAGCGGGGTTAACCTGTGGCCCCCAGGAAATGCTCCCTGCACTGCTCCAGCTGGAGTTTCCAGGCTCCCCTTCTACTGCCCAGTGGGCAGAGTGGGGAGGTAGTACAGTATGGTTCACATAAGCCTGTGGCCAGGTAGCTGAGGGGAAACTGGGGATACTGGGGGTGCTCATGGTGCAGCACGATGGGGCCCCACTTTACAATGCAGCATGTGGAATGCAGCAGGGAGTGCCTGCTGCACAGTGCTACATCTATAGTGGGGAGGGTGGCCAACCAGGGGTGGTGGTGGTGGACAGGGGCATCCCTAGGCCACTCAGAACCAAACAGCCCTGATACATGCTATCAACCTTTGATCAGCTTAAAAGAATGGATGGACCACTTTTGACACTCACCCCCCTTTTGAAAAAATGTTTAGTGCCTTTTATTATCCAGTCAGACACATTTTTAATTTTATACAACTAAAGGTGTGTATCATGTACCCAAACTGAACACTTGCATGAATATTTGCTGGATCAAAGCATAAATGTGTAAAAGCAGCCTAAAAAGGACTGGAGTGTAAATGTGCATGACTGAACAACAACATTGTAATATTTAAAAACTGGAAGTAGGAAACTGAGCCACACCTGGAAGCTTCCCATCCCTGGCTCAGTTTCCCACTGGCTGGAAGCTTCACCTGCACTTGAGGACTGGCAAGTGGGGTTACAAAATACTGGCAACTTTTCTGTGAAAATGCTTTAATGCTTGGGAGAAGGGGATTTAAAATTTAGTCATGCATGTCCTCTGCATCAACACTGTGCCTGTTGCTGTCCCCATATACACTTAAATTTGGCCACCATGTATGGTTTTGGAGAGTGGTGGTGGAGGTGTGTGTGTGCATGTGTGTGTAGAAGAAATCAGCTCACACATGCTCATAAGACTTTTCTGGGTTTGGCAGCAAAATTCCCCTATGTCTGCCCCTCTCTGAGCATGCTTTAGATGCCTCTTACTGCTTTAAGTATAGGCCATGCCAGCTGTGTAAAACTTGATGGAGCATGCTTCTGTCTAGGGCTCTGGGAACAAGCCAGACCTTCCCAAAAACCAGATCAGGAGGAGGTAAAGGAATCTGAGACAAGGACCATGGTAAGACTGGAGAGGGATAGAGCTGGGACTGGCTGGGGGAGCTAGGAGACTGAGATCCTAACAGAAAGAAGGGAGACTGGAACCAGTTAGGCAGGCACAGACTAGGACCTGATAGGAGAAATGGAGATGGAAAGGTATGGAAGTCAGTAGTGCAGGGGCAGGGCTGACAATGAGCAGGCAATCTGGGGAGATACTGAGACAAGAAGCCAGTGTGGGGCAGACAAATCTGAGAAGGAGATGCAGAGGAGACTGCAATCAACTGGGAAGAGAGACTGGGGCACAGAGTCAGACTGGGTGAAGGGTTAAGAGAGGGAGAACAAGACCACACACACACACACATGCACACACGCACACACACGCACACTTTCTACATATATCCAGGTTCTGTCCTTGCTGATAAACCCATGTGGGTGTCAATAGGACAATGCATGATCAATTTTCTGCTTTTTCAGTTTGCTTAAGAAAAAAAAGGAACTTGTTCATTTAAAAACTGTAGCTATTTATTTTCCTGAGTCAGTTGCTCAGAAGTTAGCAAATGCAAGAATTATATTTCCTGTGAAACCTTATTCCTGACATCTCCTTACCTTTGAATGCTTGACTTCACAACCCCAGTGCTCTTTTGATACTGTGTGTCAAATATAAGCAGGAGTAGAAAAGAAAAAGTATGGCATATTAAACATTTTCTGTCCTATCTTCTTAAAAATGGATTTGTAATGCTACAAACTGTGCATATGAAGTGGCAATTCTATTTCACAGGGACAGTGACATTAAGATTACTATCTTAATTCTCATAATTCATAGGATCAAGTCAACCCTTTTGATGGAATGCAATATTGGGTACAATTCTGTATGGCATTTCCCTCCTAACAAAGATGAATGCTAAAAGAAGTGTCTAGAAATGAAAATGTCCCTGAAGAAAAGCAAGAGACAAGTTCAAGCATGCATAAGACCACACAGCAAGTGAAAGAACACATAAGGGAATACTTGTTTAGATCAGGTTAAAGGACAGAGAAATCCAGCACCAGCTCAGACAGCAGCAGGAATATATAAAGCACCATGCTAAGGGCATCCTTAAGTAGTGTTTATACTACAGCTTTTAGGCCTTATCTGTAACAGAGCTGCCAAATATCACACATCACAAATAGAACTCAGGCCCACGGGTGCTCTGTTGTCCATCTCAACTGGATCATTGTGTCTTACCTATATCTAATTTTGCCCTGGTTTAACTGAAAGTGTGTTTTTAAACTAATTTAAACTGAAAACCTGCATAGAGACACTTGACTTTGCTTAAAAATGTCTTAAATCAAGGCTGGCAACCTTTATGAATTGTAGGCCAGAACAACCGAGCTCTAGTCTGCTGCAAGCTAAGTGGCTTTGGTGAGGCTGGGACCAGGCAGCTGGGAGCTGCCCCTGTACTGCCACTGCTTCTCACAGGCCCCAGGTCAAGGCTTCAGCACAAGATCTGCCACCACTTCTCCCCACTTCCTGGCTGTAGGGAGGGTGCGGCTTCCAACCAGTAAGGAACTGAGCTGGGGGCCAAGCAGCAAGAAGCTGTATCCACACTATTTTCTCATGCTGCATCTTGCTGCCTCCCAGCTGCTGCGTGGGCACACCTGGAAGCTTCCCAGCCCTGGCTCAGTTTCCCACTGGCTGGAAGCTTCACCTACATCTGAGGACTGGCAGGTAGGGAGAAGTGTCAGCAACACAGGTGCATCTTCCAGCTGTCCAGCCCCAGTGCGGGCATATGCAAAACCATCCAGCTTCATGGGTGGGATCCACCAGCTCCTCAGGCCAGATCTGGCTCGCAGGTTGCATGTTGCTGACCCTGTCCTACATCAGCAAAGGGCATTGATTAAATACTGGTCAAAAAAGGAATCATGCTTAATTGATGTAAAGCAGTCTTAAACCTAAAGACGACAGATCATCTCCAAGTTGCATACACAAAGCTGAGCTGGAGGCAGACAGGAGGCACTGCTGGCAGTTGTGTCTTCTGACAGCGTTAAGTTGCTATGGCACCAGCTGAACAGGCAGCTGCTTTTTCAGAAGCAGTCACTCCTCCTGCAGCTCCCTCTGCTGGATTAAATCTAGGAAGCAGCTAGTGTACCTACAGTACATACAGCAGGTAAGGAATCCAATAATGACCCCAAACTCCTCTACCTTCCCCCTTCCAAACTTCCCACGAAACTTCAACAACCTCTCCCACTTGGGCACCACCTCCACCTATTCCACTAACAACCAGCTTCCTCTCCTAACACCTCACTTGACTTAAACCCTAGATACACTTCAGCAACCACATTCTGTGCAGTTCCATGCCCTCTGTTCAACACAGCTTAAGGCAAACAGAATTTTAAAGCTACATTGATATGCTAATTATTTGTCAGAATGACAATTACTTACTTAGTGTGTATGAGTTATATATAACACTTCATAAGACTGAGCAGCAGGGCCTCCTCTGGTAAAACAGTGACCCCGGGATAAAGCTGCCTTTCTGAAGGGTTACTTTACCATAGAGTACGGCTGAATGCTGAGCATCTGCTCCACTTTTACTTGGGGTGAAGTCCAATTACTCTGGTGTAAATGCACTGTGTCCACCCTCTTGGGCAGAAAAGAAACATGACTCAGGATTGATCACATCCCAGATGAGTGTCCTAACCTCTGGGCCGTCTCCTCTCTCTCCAATTCTGATGAGAAATTCTAACCTGGGCTTGAGATGCCTTTCCTGAAAAAGGTATAGTTCAAATGAACACATTTCCATGAACATTTTCAGTTTCAACAAATTAATACTTTCCACTAAAACAGCACTTGGTCTAACAGCAGGGTCCAACTCATTTGGCTCAGCAGCTGGATGAGTTGTATGAGACTGGTCTGCAGGCCTGATGTGGCATGCAAAGCCATATCATCCAGCCTGCAGGGACCCCCCAGAGGTTCAGAAATTTGGCAGTATGAACATGAAACTGTGGCAATTTATGGTGTTGCCACTCATCCTGCTGCCAAATTTCGGGTCCTGTGTGGAGCCCTGTGGGCTGCATGATGCAGCTCCACAACCCAGATACAGGTAGCAGACGATACCTTGCTCACCCTTGGTACCCTGGCTGGACCCTACTGTTAGACCACCTACACTTTTCCAGTGCATTTCAAAAATGCTCTTCTTCTTTAGGGACGAGCTAATTATTTCTAGACAAAGGATTAAACTCTCTACTAAGAACAATTCCAGGCCTCTCCAATAAATGGCACAGGATTTGACAAGATGGCCTTATGCAAGCCAAACATAGCAACAAATACTGACGTACAACAAAGCAACCTATTGCCAGTGCAGCAAGTGAGTTTTAGGTCCGAGGTAGGAGATGTGCATGGATGGATCCAGGATTTTGAAAAGTGGGGTGCAGAATACATGAAAAATCATCACACGTGACACATGTTCTCCAGTTCAAGAGAAACTAGAAGCTTTACTGTTATCCTAAGGGCCTAAGGCCATATTATTAAGTTTAAGATCAGAGCAAACTATTGGAATGTGTACCAATTTGTTAGGTATATATATCAATTAAAAAACAAATAAACTAGACAAATAAAGTATATCATGTCATTAGTCCTGCAGTCACTATAGTTCAATGTACTTATCTTATCAGATTCATAAAACAAAATCTAGCCTTTTTGAATGTCTTGGCAGTGCCTCAAATAGTTCACTGTCAGTCATTTCTAAATCTGAGTTAATATGAGCACACCTGAGTTAAGGTTTTTAGCTAGAGCTCAAAAGAGTCTGTAGGGCTGTGAAATGGAAGAGACGCATTACCAGGAATGGCAAACAGACAGCAAAATGGCAGAAGAAAGAATAGCTTGAATAGTGGAAGATCAAGACCATAAAAGGGAGGAAGAATCCTTAACACCTGTGGAATGGAAAGAGATTAGCAGGAATCAAGAAGAAGATAATGAGCCATGAAGTCACTTGACTATCCCATCACTGCCTGAACAGAAAGGCCACTAACCCTCACAGGCAGTTGGCTTTAAAGTTTTGGTGAAGCAGGAATCAAAGGGGGAGGAGGGGGCAAGTGAACCTTTACACCCACCCTGCATCTTTCCATGGGTGTATGTATACACACCTGGGACCCCTGCTCCATTGATTCGCAGCCAGGTCCCACACCACCCTAGGCTGCCTCAATATGCTTTGCAAGGTGACCTGGGGTGTCTGTGTGGCTGGGTGCATACATGCAAGTCACACAACATAAACAAGAAGACTTCCAACAGGAGCCAGCAGCATCAAGAGCTGGCTACAAGTTTAAATGAAAGGTGGATGGAAACCAGCTGTAGAGCTGTTACACATTTCCAAGCACTAACTTTGTAGCCAGTAGATTCTTTTTAATTTTGGAGGGTCCTTTTTATCGTGGGAGAATTGCTTGGCATGTGTGGACAGTCTAAATTTACAGCATGCTTCACCAATGAATAGCGCAAAGTCATTGGCATAATTCACTGGGGAATCATGCCACAAATGTAGATCGGCCACAGGTGCAGAGTCAGTCACATGCAGGGTGACTAACTTTTCAAAATGGAAAGGCAAGACATGTCTCTGCCTCTCCTCCCCACCACTCCCTTCCGGCAGCAGAGCCCTAGTTCAGGGGCTCCCAACCCTTTTTAGATCACGGATCAGCAAGCTGCAGCCCAGAAGCAACAGTGACCAGGAAACTGCAGTCTGAAAGTGACCAGTATACCACGGAGCGGCAGCCTACTCCTTTTTTATACTCGATTGGAGGCCTTTCCGCAGTATGCCGATCACTTCTGGACTCCCAGTCCGGCAGCCAACCCGCTGTGGCCTGGCACCAGGCTGCGGCCCAGGGGTTAGGAACCTCTGCCCTAGTCACACGTGCCACAAGCAGAACAGAGCCCCGCTCCGAGGACGGGAGCGGCCTGAACGCGGCGGAACCCAGAGGCTGGTGGGCAGAGCCCGGCCGCCTCCCCCTCCTCACCCTGCGTCAAGTCCTCGTCGGGATCCACCTCGGAGCAGCGAGGGAAGCCCGGGGGCAGCGCTGGCCCGATCAGCTCCCGGGCCATAGCAAAGGCGCCTGCGCAACTCAACAAGACTCCGCCGCGCTTCCGGCGCCGTCCGATGACGTTACTAGCTGTCCATTGGCCCGCTCTACGCCACGAGGGGAGGACGTGGTGTTTACAGCGGGCCCGGAAGTGACGCGCAATGTAGTTGCCTCTGAGGTGGCCCATGTGGAGACAGCTGTAGGGGCCGGGCCAGACATGAACCCCTTCGCTTGGTATCTGCCGCCGCCGCCCCCCATGTTCTGCGCGTCGCCTGCCTGGGAGCCCGGCTTCTGGGGGCCGCCCACCGACTTCGGGCCGCCCGGCCCCTGGTACCAGCCGGCGCCCGGCTACGGGGAGCAGCACCAGGGCCCGCCCCCAGGTACGCGGTAGTGCTGAGGCACTTGGAGCCGCTGCCTGTACACCCTCCTGCGAGCTCTGGCTGCCTCAGTTACGGAGGCCGGGGGTGGGACGCCTGTGGCTGATCCCGCCAGGGACAGAGAGCAGGTTGGGAAGGGGATTGGAGCAGTCCTCGGGCTGATTGGTGGCACGGCCTATGCCTGGGGTGTGCTAGTGCTCCTGCTGGTGCTTAAATCTCGAGGTTCCTGGTTGGAGGGTCTTGCTTCTCTGCTCAGATCAGACCGATCCCCATATTTGGCAGCAGGAAGGAATTTTACCCCAGGGTCAGATTGGTATGGGCTGTGGGGGGTTTTGCCCTCCTCTCTAATGTGGGGTGTGGACCTCTCTCTACCCAGGGTCTCTCAAGTTCATATTGGCAACCTTTTACAGAAGTAAGATGTTGGCTGCTGCAGTCCCCCTGCTTTACCTGTGGCAGGTTAGGGTGTGATGTCTTGTTTTACATAAAGGTTGGCAGTAGTTTTCCGAAGAGGTTAGATTATGTATTTGTTTAGGTTAATTTTAGGTGGGGATGATCCTGCCTTAGGCGGGGGTTTGACTTCTGGAGATACCTTCAGGCCCAACTGCTCTGCAGTTCTATGGACAGGTTGGCTCCAATAACTAAGGTTAAAGGTTTTCAACCTGTAGCCCTGGGAGTCTGTACAATATTTGAAAGGGATCTGCAGAAGATGACTACGGTCAATCAAAAGTGTGCAAATACCCATGCTTACAATTCAAAGCAGTCCATACCCCCACTCAAATCTTTTTAAAGGTCTGCAAATAAAAAAAAAAAAAAGGTTGAAAAGCACTAACTTAGGCTGTGCACTCTTCTTTCACTCCCCCTTCCCTCAGATATAATCCTGGTGGAAGTAGGGTGTATTTTCACATTGCATTTTTAATTTATAATTTTTTTTTTATTTTTTTTTGTTTTTTGGTAACTGATGTTGTTGAAGGTGGGAGCTGCCATTTTGCCTCAGAATGGCAAGCTGAGCAAACGCCCCCATATTACAGACGTTCTGGCAGTGGAAACTACAAACAGAAGGTACTTACTATAATTGTTATGTGCAGCATGCTGCTTCAGCTGTAGTTCAAGTACAGAGTACTCTCAATTGAAACGCATGGCGCATATACCATGATGTGTCTGTAAGCCTAAATTCAGTATCCTGGGGTGCTTTTTTATTGTTGAGTTGGGCTGGCCTCCTGCAAGAATCTTTTTCTCATGGTTTATTTGACATCTTCAGTCTACCTAGATACTCAAAGTTTGGGATGGGTTGGCAGCGTTGATGCTTAAAAAAAAAAAACCAAAAAAAAACCCAGAACCTGTTTGACTTAAAAGCTGAGAGAAGTGGAATATGGTAGTTTGATTTAAAATTACTTTTCAGACTAGGCTGCATTTCAAATATCTGGAGTATTGAAATTCCAATTGATATAAAATATTTTCAATACTTTCTTCACAGCATGTTGCTTTATTTAAAATAAGAGCCAATATTTTTAATCAGTTTCTTTAACCCTGTCCCCTTTTCTCTTTTGACAGAACAAAAAGAAGAAAGAACCAGATTTTGCTCATTATTGTGATACGTGTGATCGTGGCTTTAAAAACCAAGAAAAGTATGATGAACACATTGCACAGCACACACAGGTTAGGTTTGTTTATTTTTAGAAAGTCTGTATTAAAGTAATGTTTTTGGCCTTCTGTCAACTTTCTTTCATTTTGGCCTTTGATTTCATAACCTCAGCGTAGTTTGTCATGGTCAGTGTCTAAACGGAAGATCTCTAGAGGGGATCCATGTTCTACAAGGGTGGTATCAGTTGGTAATATTTGCATTAGAATCAGCACTTTGTCTTAGATCCCAGTTAAGGTAAAGGACTATAGTGCTAGTACTCTTAATTAGTATCTTTTTGATTAAGAGGTAAAGGTAAGGTCCCAGTTAAATCTGTAGCCTTTGCCTGTAGTTACATGGGATTGACTGTTGGTGACCCTGACGCTGAAAGCATATCTGAGTTTGAAAACTGCCGGAAATGTTAGGGGATTTCCTACTCCAGATCTGAGCTAAATGCAGTTTTTCCATCCCATTGTTCCGTCCAGTGTCCCACGGTTCTTCCATTGAAAACAGTTCCACAATAGGAGTAATTCTTAGGTGGCATTTGCTCTACTTCTATCACTTCAAGCAAGAAATTGTAGTGAACTTCTTCCTTGCTGGTTGCTGAGAGTTGTAATCTGAATTTTAACAGGTATTTAGTTTCTCTTAATAAAGACCAGGGGCAATGTAGACTTTGTACCTAATAGTTCAAAAGATCGTGTAGCTTAATAGTGTGTAGCTGGTGGCTTTGTATGCTTTAAACAGTTCTGGGTTAAGTTTAACTTTGGGGAAATTGATTTCTTCTCTGTCCTTTTGTTATATAACACTTGTGAAATAATAGTAATAGTACCTTTTGCTTACAGAGTGCTATGGATCAGTTCACTAGCACTGTCAGTCCTCAAATGGAAATAATTTTGTCTTGAAAAACACTGTGGGGAAGTGTAATGGAGAGCCAGAAGACTCTTGTTACTTGAGGAGAAAACAGTACCAGCCAGAGCTGGCTGCAAAGAAAATAAGCAGCCAGGGGAAGAGGCAGAGGCTAGGAGTGCCTATCACAGCTGCTTACTCTGTGATAATCTGGCAGGGAAGAATCCTGCTTGGGAAGTATGGGCCCTGCTGCTGCAGCAGCAAGGCCAGGAACAGTGAGCTGCATTGGAGCCTTGTCAGCAAGCTTACTAGGGAAGCACATGTGGCAGCTCAGGGAGCCACATAACCAAATGGAGCATGGCTTCCAGCCATATAAACCTAGGGCTTGAATCAGAGCAGGCAGTCTGGCCCTGGAGGCTGCAGTGGAAGGAACTCCAGAGCAGGAGGAGCCAGGAGAACCCCTGCCTGGCACAAGTGCTACCTTGGGAAAAGGTTGATTGGATAGACAACATATGCAAGGCATGGGCATAGTATAAGGGGTGGTTGGAGCCACATAATTAGGCCTTAAGGCTTACAAGTGCCCTGGGGCTTGGGTGGACTGAGAGTGCCTGCTCAGCAAGGGCAGGAATGAGACCAGTGGAGTCCAGGAGGAGCTTGCTGGCTGTTAGAGGTACTGGGGCTTACTCTAGGACCTATTAGGCAGCCTCCCTTCCAATGAAACAGTTACACCAAAGGTGTGGTGCGTGAGTGAGAAGGGGAGAGCACCTTGGAGCTGGAGCAGGGTATGGGTTGCATGACCACCAAGGGATGCTCCAGTCACCCCTGGAGCATGAACCTGGTTATAACAGCGGGGAGGAATCCACTATTTTGATGGAAAAAAACTAAAACCACAATAAAACAGAAAGATGCTCCTGGTAATGGGTCCCCCAACAGAAGTTGAGGCCTGCTACCAAAAGCATCTTCGTCTGTGTCTGGAACAGTTGAACTGTTTTCAGAGAGAGGACTTTCCATTTTTTTGCTGACTAGGGCAAAGATGGTTTGAAAATAAAATGGTAAATATAGTGCATAGCTTTCAGTCAGTTTAGGAATGACTTTTTTTGAAGCTGTAGCAATTGGAAATTTATACAGTTCTCTCTCTTAGTGCTCCTGGCCAGGGCTGTCCTACTTTCAGGGAGTCGGGAATTTGAATGCTGCACCAGCTCCCCTGCATTGTGCTCTGTGGTCCCTTGCTACATGGCAGGTGCCCCTTTGTTGTCCTAAACTTGTGCTGTGCAGGGTTGCCAGGTGTTTCTGATCTCTTCTGCCACTGGCTTCTTTGGCCTTGCATGCTGTGCTGCCTCTAAGGGCAGAGGCAGGAAGCAAGAGGGAAGGGGGAACCCAGAGACCCCAGCAACAGGAGAAGGAGAGTGGTGTGGGTGCAGTGTCCAGACTGTGAGCCCAAGGGCTGCAGGTCAACCCCTTGGGGTCCCCATGCAGCCTGCAAATTGGACAGTCCTACTTTATGCAAAGTAGGCTACATAATGGCTGAGATATATTAATGGTTAGTTCTATTAGTATGGAACAGTGGTGAAATTTGTAGTTGACTTATGAGTCCTTTTTCATACAGTGCATAACTAAAGTGTGGAACTCATTGCCACAACATTTTGTGGCAAGCTGACAGTTTAACCAGATTAAAAATGGATTTTATGAATTTTAGAAGTGAATAGTAGCTATTGAACATGGGAGTTAATGGTTTAGCCTCTGAATTGGAACTTCCTAGTCCTTAAATGCCGGAAGATGCAAGTAGGAAGGGAACAATGGAAAAAACCCTGTTCATTCTCCCTTTAACCATTTGCTGTCTGCCACTGTATGACACAAAACACTGGGAAAGATGAAGCTATATCTGACGCGGTAAAAAGCAGTTCTTATGCTCTTGTGAGTTGCCTATATAATTCAATGCAAACTCAAATATTAAATACACTTTTTCTTACTTTACAGTGCCCAGAAGAGGGTTGCAGTTTTCGTGCACACGAGAAGTTAGTTCAGATGCATTGGAAGAACGTATGTATCTGAGACCGCTTCAGAACTTTAATTCCTGTTGAAGTCCACGGTGAAGAATCTGCTATTCCTTTCTCTCAGTCTTCTTAAGCTTTTTTTTATATGCCTCTGGAAAGACAGAATCCTTAAAATTTGACCCTCAGTTCCATGTTAAACATGAAAATCATGTAAATAAAAATGAGAATTGCCCTGTATTGTCCTAGAAAATAAGTGGTGAAAATAAGCTGCATTCAAGCTCAGGGATATCTTGGTTGAAAAATGCAGAGTTTTTTCTTTTGTATAATCAAATGTTCTCTTTGCATATTTTTTAAATACTTCTGAAACCATTAACTCCCTAGATGCATGCTCCTGGTGTTAAAAGAATTAAATTGGATACTCCAGAGGAGATCGCTAAGTGGAGAGAGGAAAGAAAAAAGTGAGTAGCATTTCAGAAACTAATTGCATTGCAAAAGATGGCATTCTTCCATCATCACTACTCCCTTGAAATCTTTATAGTTTTCTCTTTGTGTTCTTAGATTTTAGGTGAATTAGTTTTGCAGCACTTATTGAAAATCACTCAAAATGTTAAATTAGAAGCTGGAAAAAGTAGCAGTCAGTCAAATTCCTGAATCAGGAGCGTGCATTGTACAAAGAACTGAGAAGAAATTTGACATAAATTACTGCTAAAATTTGATGAGATGATTGGCTTGTTTTGAAATTTTAAAATTTCAGTTTAGAAAGGATAGAATAGGTAAAAATGATGTACCTGCTTGTTCTACTATTGGGCACTGTTGCTTGCTTTATTGGTAGCTTGAAACCCAAGGATCTTCAGTACATGTTGCTTAATATATAACCAAAGCCCAGTAGAGAGGAACCAGTGATCTATTGCAGACACCAGATAGAAAAACGCCATAAGGTACTCTCTGAGTACTTGTTTGTAGTGTCACAAAAAAAACCCCAAACTGAAAACCTGTTGTGTTATGGGATCAGAAAAGGCTTCAGTTTTATAGATGTATACCCGAGGCCCCATGCAGCTGACAGTAAAATGTTAGTGTCTAAAAATAATTGTCTAAAGATTGTTTTGTCATTTACCAGTGAGTAGTAGCTCTGTTCTGGACCTCAGTACCATGGCAGAAGTTGAACTTGTTCTGGTACTGGGAGTTAATGGTTGCCTTAAGGAGCAGTGATCTTGTCCTGATTGCTTTCAATATAGTCAGAGAGGATACTTTCAACTGATAATATATGTACTTAAAATTGATTCCTTTGAAACATTTTGTGTTCTCATTTTAAAAAGTAGAAGCAAAATGGACTGGAATGAAAAACTTTCACTGAAATATGGGAATAAAATTTAGGAGACTTGGGTAATTTAGATCAAACTCACTAGTGAGAGTTTATTATCTGGTTTATCAAAAGAACATCAAGGAGTGATTTGATTACTTACTCCTTCCTGAGCAAAAATTACTAGAAACTAATAGGCTTCCCTTTAGTGGAGAAGGGCTATCACCATTGGGCCTATGGTTTTTTTTTTTGCCAAAGGCAGATAAATTCAATCTAGAAATTGGGCACAATTTCCCATTGGAGCACATAGCTAAATATAACAAAAAGCTGCCAATGAAAGTGGTGAGTTCTCCCTCTAGATATTTTCAAATTAAGACTGGCTGCCTTTTTGGTATTTATGCTTTAGTCCAACAGAGTTACTAGCTCTTATACAGGGATAACTGAGTGAAATGTAAGGATATGTTATAAACAGGGAAGTCTGTCTTCTTGTAATTTCACCTTGCCTTAAACTCTCTTCCATCTCAAGTTGAAAAGTTTTTGCATTGGATACTATAAAGCTACAAGAATCTGAAAATGAGGGACCTCCTTATTATGATGATGGTCAAGCATTGAAATAAGCTACCGAGAGAAGTTATGGAATCTCCATCCCTAGAAATTTTCAAGAGGCAGTTGGACAGACACTTGGCTGGGGTGGTTTAATCGGGGATGATGCTGCAGTGAGCAGGAGCGTGGACTAGATAACTTGTGAGGTCCCTTCCAGTCCTATCATCTTGTGATCTTAAAATGGTATGTTAACAGCAGCTATAGGACATCTTCTGTGCAGGCTTCCAGAATTTCACAGCTTATTCCAGTAGACTGGATAATGGGATGTAACATCTTTGCTAATCCTTGTTGTAGATGTCATACCATGAGCTTGCATGTCTGCATTCTCTTACTCTGAATGTGTGCTGTTAAACACCTCTGTGCTATGAAGAAAAAAAAAGTTTCCCTTTCCCTATTTGGAATCGTCTAAAACGCTTGAGAGAAAAGTAAAAACACTGCTGATGTATAAGCCTTTTCTGTGATTAATATGCTCTCAGGGAAGCTGTAAAATGAAGTGCAATGCAAAACTGCATAAAACGATGCTGCTAATTGGGGTATGATGTTACTAACCCATTTAGCTGTTCAAAGGTACAAGCTGCATACAAATGAGGACCAAGTCTCAAGGAGAAAGAAACCTAAACGATCTTTTACACTGATCAATCAAATGTAACCTGTTTAGCTGTTCAAAGCTAAAACAGGTTATGTTTGATTGATCAGTGTAAAAGATCGTTTAGGTTTCTTCTCCTTGAGACTTGGCCCTCATTTGTATATACAACTATTTTTAAAAAATGTAGAATGAGAGTGAGTGATTTATTGGTGATGCTGTAAAGCACTGTGTGAGAACTGGGTCTCCTACCTTGTCCACTCTCTCAAAAATTCAGAAATAAACTAACAGTACTTTCTGCAGCCATGTTGCTATGGGCTGAGATCTTACCAGAGTGCAGGCCTGCTCGTTACTTGAGTGGGAGTTTTCCAGGCTAGTCCACAGAACCCAGCCCGTGGTTGTAGTCTTGTGCAAAATTTCTGAAGAAGATCCTGTACACAGAGCTCCTAACTCCTTATTCTTGAAAACATGTTGTAGTCATATTGAGGGTCCTCTTTTTTCCCAGATTTTTGTTGTTGTTAAAACTCTTCATAGTAGAGGCAAAGCAGTTTTGAAAAAACTGTTAGTTTGGAATTGGAAATGGGTACCAGAGGACTGGAAAAGGGTCAGCATAGCTCCCCTCTTTTGTAAAAAGGAGGACCTTGGGAATTATACACAAGTTAGCCTCACTTCAGTACCTGGGAAGTTACTGGAACATATTATATTGAAGTCCATTTACAAGCATCTGGTGGAGGAAAGGCTGATCATGAGTGGTCAGCATGGATTTATGAAGAACAGATCATGCTAAACAAGTTTGATCTTTGATGCAATTATTGCCCTTGCCTGTTTCCTATGACTTTGTAAATATTATTGCCAAGGGCTCAGAAATCTCACTTGCCAGTTCTTTCAGTATCCTGGGGTGAAGTTCATCAGTTCCCACTGACTTGAATTTATTCAGACCCATCAAAAGTTCTCTTACTGTTTTCTTCTGTTATCTCAGTCCTTGGCTTGTCCAAATTTTATCCAAATAATCCTTATGAGCTGTTTGGCTGCAGCTTAATTTGTGTGTGTGTGTGAAGTGCGAGGTAAAGTACATGTAGAGCAGTTCTGTCATATTGCGAGTGTCTACAGAGACACAGCCACCTTGACTCTGACACACTAGCCCTGCTTTAATGGAGTCCTAAAGACAATACTGGCATGTGTTTGCTTGAGAGAGTGTGGAAGTTATCCCCTCTTGCTTCCTGCTGCTTCACTGAACCTGCTTTCATAGAAGGGTGCAGGTTCAGGGAAGCGGCAAGAAACAAATTGAGTCACTTCTGAGCAATAACTTTTTCTTGAATAATTTTTTGGACACTGATATTCCATTAAAACATTTGCCCCCCTTGTGGTGAAATTCTGATAGTGTCATGGTAAACAGCAGATTCCAGCTGTGGGGTAAACTTTTTTTCCCGGTGATGCTTGTAACAGTTTCTAGTGCATATACAGGTATCCAGGTATTGTAGCTGTATTGGTCTAGAGAAGTTGGGGCTTGTGGACAGAGGTGATATCTTTTTATTAGACCAACAAGATTTTTGCAATTTTTTTTAATTTTTAAATTTCTTTACTTTTTAAAGAATTTTTTTTTCTTTTTGCAAAAATCTTGTTGGTCTAATAAAAGATATCACCTCTGTCCATGAACCCTGATTGCTTTGTGCATATACAGGCAGGACAAAGGAAAAGTTTCTGTTTATACCCACAGCCTTGGCCTGCCAACTGTCCAGTTCAATTTTTATAATTTGCCATAATCTTAAATGTGTTTTTTGTTGTTCTTTTTTAAATAAAGACCAGGGGTAAGCAACCTACAGCTCGCAAAGATCCAGTTCAGCACAAGGGAATTGATGGCTTTAGAGCCTCCTGCTCTGTCACATCTGTATTGCCCTCATTGCAGAGGAACTGAGTATCTGTTGTGAGGGTGAGGGCAGACAGCTGGTTGCTCAGTGTGATGGTGGCAGTGGGGACAGCTTTATGACCCACAGCTGGGTTGCCAGCCCAGGCTAGCAAAAGGTTGCCAATCCCTGATACAGTGCATGCTCTAGTAGCAACAGTCTATTTTCCTGATGCAGTTGTTAACCAGAAAAAGATTATCTAGACTATTGTCTTGTGGCAGCTGGTGTGAAACCCAAAGTTTCCTTTTCTCTCTCAAATTCAGAAGTTGTTTCTTGACTTGTTTAAACTTGTCTAGAATTTGATGTTGATGGGTTACAAAACAAAACAAAACACTTTTACAGAGCCCTTAATCCCAGCCTTATAATCAGTGTTGAATTTAGCAAACAAGACATAGCTTCAGTCCATAGCTAGCTTTATATACTGCTAGACTAGTTCCCATTAAAAATCCAACATAGTTGAAAATTACTGTTTAGCTTTTCATGTGCCCTGATACTGTATGTGTGTGTTTTGATGGGGGTTATAGTGATCAGTCTTCTTGTTTGGGATATTTGTGTAAGAATTCCCAACTTTTGCTGATAACCATACAGTTTGCTTATATGATGAACTTCATGTTTTGCTTGTAGCTATATCTGACCTTCCCAAAAATAATATTATAGAAGATCAAGCAGCAAAGCACTGACCAGCACCTCTTGTAAGAAATAAGTTTCATAGTTTCATAGTTTGTAGGGTTGGAAGGGACCTGAGCAGATCATCAAGTCCAACCCCCTGCCATGGCAGGAAAGAGTACTGGGGTCAAACAACCCCAGCAAGGTGTTTGTCTAGCCTCCTCTTAAAGACCCCCAGGGTAGGAGCCAGCACCACTTCTCTTGGAAGTTGGTTCCAGATCCTAGCCGCCCTGACCGTGAAGTAGCGCCTCCTGATATCTAGCCTAAATCTACCCTCTGCCAGCTTGTGACTGTTGTTCCTGGTCACTCCTGGTAGTGCTTGGGGGAACAGGGACTCCCCCAATGCCTGCTGGTCCCCTCTGACTAGTTTGTAACAGACCACTAGATCCCCCCTCAGCCTTC